CACAATGACCAGATCCATCTCCATCTCTTGGCTTCTCAGTAGTGGCTGTAGGCAGAGGACATTCTGTAGTAGCGAGTCTTCTGCTTTCCATGTGCAGAGGTTACTTGAACATTTAATTTATACCGCAAATGAAAACCTAGGAGTAGAAGATGACAGACACCCAGATATAGAGACAAGCTGTGAGTGAGTTTCTGGGCACCAGGGTTTACATTCCAGACAATGGAACATGAGTCATCTGGGGTGGGGAGTTCCCTTTTCTCCATCAAAACAGGGTGATTTGCTCCATGCTCTTACTTTAGAATTTATAAACCCAAGATAGTACATTGTTGACAGATTAAAATTTGACATGTTCTCTGACCAACAGAAGATATGGAGGCTGGAGCTAGTGAGGATGCTAGCCAGAGTGTAAGGAGTTTCATAGAAACATAAAATATGATTGAGTTTCTTATGAATGTGCCAGTACCAGGCCTTGAACTCAAGGCTTGAGGCTCCTACTTTGAGATGTATTGTTGAAAGATGCTTCTTTGATGTCTGAGTTTGTGACCATGGGCAAAAATCATCATTGGTAAGTGACATGGACTGGAATTTTTGCCCTTGATCTGCCAAGATTACAAATCATTAAAATTCTTTTTATTTTTGTAAATATTTTAAATTAAGTGATGGTACTGGGGCTTGAATGCAGGGTCTCACACTTTCCCTTGGCGTTTTTTGCTCAAGGCTGGTGCTCTACTACTTCATCCACACCTCCGCTTCTGCTTTTTGCTGGTTAATTAGAGATAAGAGTCTCACAGACTTTTCTGCCTATGCTGGCCTTTTGTAAATACTTAAAAAAATTGTAATTCTCTTACTGCTGTGAAGGAATCTGGAAATGCCTGAAGTGTATTTGTAGTCCTTATAGCCCTATAGATATTCACTCTCTTATTTTTGAGGCTGTTGTACTTGCTGTGAAATAATAAAAAATTCTAAGTAATAGCTGTAGTTTCAGGTTATAATAAAACAAATGGTAAGCAGGTCACTAGTGGTTCACGCCTGTAATCTTAGCTACTTAGGAGGCTGAGATCTGAGGATTCTAGTTCAAAGCCAGCCCAGTCAGGAAAGTCCTTAAGTGACCTCTCTCTTTCTTTTTCTTTTTTGTCGGTTGTTGGGCTTGAACTCTGGGCCTGGGCGCTGTCTCTCAGCTCTTCAGCTCAAGGCAAGCACTCTACCACTTGAGCCACAGTGTCACTTCTGGTTTTCTGGTGATTGATTGGGGATAAGAGCCCACGGACTTTCCTGCCAGAGATTGGCTTTGAACTATGATCTTCAGATCTCAGCCTCCTGAGTAGCTTGGATTAAAGGCATGAGCCACTAGTACCAGGCAAAACTGCTTTTTTTTTTTCTTTTGTCATTCATATTGGGGAGGGGGTCTTGAACTGTCCTGGAGCTTTTGTGCTCAAGGCTAGTTCTCTACCACTTAGAGCCACAGTGCCACTCTTATTTCTAATTAGCCACCAAAAAGCTGAAAGTAGAGCTGTGGCTCAAGTGGTAGAGGACTAGCCTTGAGCAAAATATACTCAGGGACAGAACCTAGGTTCTGGATTGAAACTCTGGGTTCTGAATTTTGTACTTAGAACAGGTACAAAAACAAAGCAAGAAAACCCTAAAATCCAAAACCAAACCAAACCACAACAACCCCCCCCCCCCCCCAACCCAAACACTCAATAATACAAACATTTTCCAACAAATTTAAAATTTATCCATGCTTGAAGCTTAGAAAATATGTTCTGAGCAAGCCAATCTGAATTTGCCTCCCTGACTTGGTTTTCAAGGTCCGTCTTCTGCAACAAGTTCTTCAGAGGCCTTTCCAGAGGAACCCTGCAGCCGAGACAGCGGGCTACGCCTCCCCTGCTCCTTCCTGGTCTAAAGGTCTCAGAGTCAGTTGCTCATCTTAATTCAGGAAAAATAAATGAAAGAACACTTTTGTGGTTGAACTCAACCTAAAATAATGTATTTAGTTGATGTGTAATGATTTCCCACATTTTGATGATAATTCCACATTTGGTAATAATGATGAAAAATAAAATATCTTAAGCTGAATAAATTGGACCTTGATACAGCTTCATGATATTTTTGTTTTTTTTTTTTGGGTCCGGTCGTGGGGCCTGAACTTGGCCTGGGTGCTGTCCCTCAGCTCTTCGGCTCAAGGCTAGCGCTCTACCACTTGAGCCACAGCGCTACTTCCGGTTTTTTCTTTTTGCTTATGTGGTGCTGAGGAATCGAACCCAGGGCCTCAGGCATGCAAGGCAAGTGCTCTACCACTGAACCACCTTCCCAGCCCCTGATTATTTTTGTTCTAGTCAATAACCTTAAGTTAATTAGCTTTAAGATTTCTTTTTAAAAACATTTTATTGTTATTATTAAGGTGTTGTACAGAGGGGATACTACTTCACAATTCAGGTAATGAATACATTTCTCTTTTGGACAATAAGATTTATTAATCATTGAGATTAGTTCATCTATCTATTTTTTTTTTTTTTGGGGGTCCGGTCGTGGGGCCTGAACTCTGGGCCTGGGCACTGTCCCTCAGCTCTTCAACTCAAGGCTAGCACTCTACAACTTGAGCCACAGTGCCACTTCCGGCTTTTTTCTTTTTGCTTATGTGGTGCTGAGGAATCGAACCCAGGGCCTCGAGCATGCAAGGCAAGCGCTCTACCACTGAGCCACCTTCCCAGCCCCCATCTATCTATTTTTTAAATTTTGTATGTGCCAGTATTGGGGTTTGAACTCAGGGTCTGGGCACTTTTTTTGCTCAAGACTGGCACTCTACTACATAGCTCCATTGGTTTGTTTGGAGATAAGACTCTACTGGATTTGTCTACTCCGGCTAGCTTTCAATCTTGATCCTCAGATCTTAGCCTCCTGAGTAGCTAGGATTACAAGTATGTGCTACTGGTTTTCTGGCAATCCTTTATTTTTTATTTTATTTTATTTTTGGCCAGTCCTGGGGCTTGAACTCAGGGCCTGGACACTGTCCCTGAGCTTCTTTTGCTCAAGGCTATTGCTCTACCACTTGAGCCACAGTGCCACTTCCAGTTTTTCTGTTTATGTGGTACTGAGGAATTGAACCCAGGGCTTAATGTATGCAAGACAAGCAAGCCACCACTAAGCCACATTCCTAGCCCAATGCTTTGTATTTTTGAAAGTCTAGAAGTTCAATATTTGGGAGTAACTGATTTGACAAAAATACTTGTCACAAGAAGGCAAATGTTCTGCATGTCCATCAAGAAGCGAATAATCTCTGTCTCTCTGTCATTGCAATCAGTTTTTACTGAGACTTAACCAGACTTTCGAATGACAACAACACATTAGTTGTAGTTGGGTGCTAGTGGCTCACACCAGTAATCTTAGCTACTCAGGAGGCTGAGATCTGAGGATTGTGGCTCCCAGACAGCCTGGGCAGAAAAGTCTGTGAGATTCTTATCTCCAATTAACCAGCTAAAAAGTCCTAAGTAGAGCTGTGACTCAAGTGGTATAGTACTAGTCTTGAGCAAAACAATGTGAGGGATAGCACCCAGGCCTTGAGTTCAATCCCCAAGATTGGCATACTCACACCACACACACACAAACACACACACACACACACACACACACACACACACACACAAAATGATGACAATACCATCTGTAATTGACTAGCTGGAATCGCTCTGTAAAGAAAAAAATAATAGAAAAATCCAGACAAATGGAGAAGACAAAACAAGATGTTAAAATAGATACATAAGAATAAAAAATAAGAGATAAACCTTTCATGCCGATAAAGAGCAAAAGAATAAAAAATTGCTAGCTGTAAGATAAATGATCACTGGATGAGATAGAAATAAAGACAAAATTTATGTATCTATGTCATTTCTAAGTGGAAAAACTAGAAGGTAATGACAGAAACTTTGAAAATCTATCATAGGATAAAGAAACTATGGAGACTGAGTGTTATAGCTGGCTGATATACTACTGTATGAATACATATAAAAAGCAAAAACATCACAGGATGATATATGGTTCAAGAAATAGCTAAGTATATTCATTACCTTGCTCATGTGATTGTAACCCCTCTGTACAGTATTTTCACAATAAAAAACTTACTTAAAAAAAAAGAAATAGCTAAGTAAATTTTGTTTGCATTTTCTTGACTGTGTCAGAATATCTAAGGCAGGTATCCCAAGCACTGAAAGGATTTTGACAATTCATGCTTGTTGAAGATTGTATGTTCTTTTAAATAAACTGCTGGGCAAAGCCAATCAGATATTAAGCTGGGGAAGATTTAAGCAAATACTTGCAAAACCAAACCAAAGAAACACAATATATCCTATGTGTGTGTGTGTGTGTGTGTGTGTGTGTGTGTGTGTGTGTGTGTGTGTGTGTTGGCACTGGGGCTTGAACTCAGGGCCTGGGCAATGTCCGTTAGCTTTTCCTGCTCAAAGATGGTGCTCTACCACTTGAGGCACAACTCCACTTCTGGCTTTTGCTGTAAAACTGGAGATGAGTCTCTAGGGTTTGTCTTTCGGGGCTGGCTTTTAACCGTGATCCTCAGATGTCAGCCTCCTGAATAGGATTATAGGCGTGCCCAGCTCATGTTTCTTTTTTGATTTTTCTGAAAAATTTACAAGTCACATAGAAATGGAAAAATAGAACAATAAGACTTAAGGCTTTGGCAAGTTACTACTACTACTATTTTTTTTTAAAAGAAAGTCAAATACACTATAAGGCAGTAACTGATAACATAGATTTCTAGAAATGCCGTTTTCAGAAACAAAAACATTAACAACCGATTCCAGCCTTCTGCAGACAGTTTCTGTTCCTTTATGAATGGACGTGATTGCATGCACGCCCTGGGGCTGGGCACGTTTCCCATCACGTCTGCTCTGGTGGCGTGGCCTGCAGACGGTGCCCGCAGCCAGGCCCCCCCAGCCCCCCAACCCCCCCCCCGCGCCCCACCCCCGACTCCCCGCCCCGCGCCCCCCGACTCCCCGCCCCCCCTAGGGCAGGTGACCCCTCTTCTTCTGCAAGGCTTTCATCAGATCGGACATGAAATCCTGCTCCCCGCTCGCCGCCGCCGCCGCGCCGGGGGCTCTGGGGTTCTCCTGTCTTTTGGGGGGCGCGGGAGGTCTCTTAGCCACCGCGGGGGACGGCCTGGGGGGCTGCGGGGCGTGGCCGGGCGGCGGCGGCGGCGGCGGCGGCGGCAGGGCCGAGCCGTCGGGGCCCGCCAGCGACGGCGGCGGCGGGGGCACGAAGTCCGGGGGCGCCTCGATGAAATCGGGGGGCGGCGGCGGGAGCTCCAGGTCGGCCGGGGGCGGCGGCGACGGCGGCGGCGGCGGGGGCGGCGGCAGCCCGGCGTCGGGCGCGGCGGGGGGGGGCGCCGCCCGGGGCTTTGGGGGGCAGCGAGGGGCTGCCGCCCGTGTCCGAGGACCGGCGGATCGGAGGGGGCGGAGGCAGGACGGACTTCCGCAGGTGACCGCCCTGGGGAGGGCCTGGGTCGTGGCTGCTCGGGGCTGGCTTCTTGTCCTTCAACGAAGCGACAGCGGGGTTATGATTATTACTATTATTAAATATACTACTGGGGTTTGAACTCAGGACCTCAGGCTTGCTGGACAGAGTCACACCCCCAAACCTGTTCTGATTTAAGATAGGACCTGCCTTCTCTCTCCCTCCTCCCCCTCACCCCCCCAAACCTGCCTGGATCCCCATCCTATTTATGCCTCCTAGAGAGCTGGGCAGGTTCAACCACCCAATCACTCAGACTAATCATTGATGAGCTCATCTTGAGACAGAGGAACGCCAGACACGACTAGGCCCTGTGGGTGATCAAACACCAAGGCTTCTAGACATGCAGACCTGAGCCAGATCCAAGCCCGTGCTCGCTGAGCTTAGATCAGGCCTCTTTCCTCGCCAGAGCCTGCCTTCCACAGGAGCTGTATCTCCAAAGTACATTTTAGCTAGTTAGGGTGTGGCTTCAGTCTCTTATCAACCAACTGCCGGCCTAGAGCAACTCAAAAGTGGAAGCCAAAGGGCTTTTCTGCTCTCTCCACTCACCTTTTGAGTGTCCTAGAAAAGTGTCCCCCCCACCCCCCAAGTATATGCAGGGAGGGACTCTGGGAGGTTTGAACTGGTAGAGCCAGTTTTAAGCACTAAACTTATTTTGTTCCTCTACCACGCCCTCCAGAGCAGACAGGTGGATGAGAGTCTTTCTCACAAAAATCTTGCTTTTATATCCTACCCGATCAAGACAAAGAACACAAAAGGGAGGAATGGGTGGACCGAGATCTTTCTGGACTACAGGGGATTGCACTGTAACCAAGTATTAAGAGTTTCTTCCCTAGTGCTGGGAAATGTGGCTTAGTGGTAGAGTGCTTGCCTAGCATGCATGAAGACCTGGGTTCAATTCCTCAGTACCACATGAACAGAAAAAGCCAGAAGTGGCGCTGTGGCTCAAATGGATGAGTGCTAGCCTTGAACAAAAGAAGATCAAGTCCTGAGTTCAAGCCCCAGGACTGGAAAAAAAAGAAAAAGAAAAAAGGAAAGAAAAAAGTCTCTCTGTGCAGAGACCTGCCCCCACCTGCTCTTGGATCTTGCATTGGCATTATGAGAACAAAGGTTTCTTCCCTACTCTATGACCTGCTGGGGAATTACCAATGATAAGCTTTGTACCAACTGCCATAAAAGGTTTAGTGAACGATGTAAATAATGAACTATATAACTTGTGGGTGGGGCTGATTGGAGGGGAAAACTGAAATGTACCCTTTACTGACTTATGTAACTGCTTCCCCTTTGTATATCACCTTTATAATAACAATAAAAAATAATAAAAAAAGTTTTAGGAGAAGCACAAGAGCTGGGAGAAGCAGGACACCAGATCTATAATTTCAGTTTCTTCCTTTTCCTCTTTCTTCTTTTTCCTCTGGTACTGGGGCTTGAACTCAGTGCACCTCACGGTCTCACTTGGCTTTTTCATTCAAGGCTGGTGTTGTACCACTTAAGCCACACCACCACCACCACCTCCTTCTCCTCCTCCTCCTCCTCTTTCTTCTTTCTTCTTCTTCTCTTTTTTGGTCCATTGTGGGATCTGGGCACTGTCCCTCAGCTCTTCAGCTCAAGGCTAGCACTCTACCACTTGAGCCACCTTCCCAGCCTACACACCTCTACTTCTTGCACCCCACCATGATGGACTGAAACTGGGGCCTGTGCCTCTTGCCAGCAAGAGATGCCTCAAGGTCCCCTTAACAGGGTCTTCATTGATTTGGGGAGGGGCAAGAAGTACTGCAGAAAGGAAGGTAGCAATCTCTTTGAAGTTACAGATACCAGTATGTGAAACAATCCTAAAATGAATGACTTTGTTTTCTTAAGAAGGGAGGCAAGCAGCAAACACCTATAATTTGCGTAAGACTTTATCTAACTCCAAGGTCCTGCAAAGTTTGTGTTCTGATTAACTCACATTCAGGATAGAATCCTGGGTCTCTGTATTGCTAGGAGAGATTGATCTTTGAGTCACTCCTATCTAAGAGTCAGAGAATGGCATTTCAATTCTTTTTATTAGACCTCATGGCTTGGCATTCACAGATTCTCACAACTTCTGGCTTTTTGGTGGTTAGTTAAAGAAAAAAGTCTCGGGCTGGGAAGGTCACTCAGTGGTAGAGCGCTTGCCTTGCATGTATGAGGCCCTGGGTTCGATTCCTCAGCACCACATAAGCAAAAAGAAAAAAAACTGGAAGTGGCGCTGTGGCTCAAGTGGTAGAGCGCTAGCCCTGAGCTGAAGAGCTGAGGGACAGCACCCAGGCCCAGAGTTCAGGCCCCACGACCGGACCCCCCCCTCCCAAAAAAAAAGTCTCATAGACTTTCTTGCCTGGATTGGTTTTGAACCTGGATCCTCAAATCTCAGCCTCCTGAGGCATTAGGATTAAAAGAGGGCCAGCTCAGGTTCCTTCTGAAATGGTGTGAAAGGTCTAAAATGGATGCTTTAATCCCTACTTTATCTGTCTGAGATTAGGATAAGATTCAGTGAGATAGGTATGTGGGTGAGTTCTGTAAGGTAAAATCATGAAGCATTTCTATTGGGAGAAAGTGGTAGATCATCAAATCAGGCTGAAGTCCCACAGGAAGAATTGATAATAATCATCCTATTCATTTACATAATGCAACTTCCTTAAGGCTTTCAGGAAGATGTGAATACCTTTGTTTTAGTGATAATTATCGCTGCATTTTACATTTCCATCAGAATCCCACTTTCTCTGCTTACCAACCTCTTACCAGGCAGTATGTGGGACTTGGTGTTTATACATAGTTAAATAATAATTTTGATTCTAGAGTTCTTTTATTTCTTTGGGTTTTTCACAATACTCCCTTTCAAATCAACTTTACAGACATAATGAATATGCATATATACATGTATATATATAATATATTTATATATATACTGTAAGAGCAGAATGTGCTTTATATGACAAGTTTGTCAGGCTTGAAAAGGGAAGAACTGGGCTGGGAAGGTGGCTCAGTGGTAGAGCACTTGCCTTGCATGCCTGAGGCCCTGGGTTCGATTCCTCACCACATAAGCAAAAAGAAAAAAGCTGGAAGTAGCGCTGTGGCTCAAGTGGTAGGGTGCTAGCCTTGAGCTGAAGAGCTGAGGGACAGCGCCCAGGCCCAGAGTTCAGGCCCCATGACCGGACCCAAAAAAAAAAAGAAAAGGGAAGAACTTTAGAGAAGCATAATTTTTAGAAAGCTTACCACAGTTTTCAAAAATTATAGGTCACTAACCCTTAGATATGTATTTAAATGTTTTTTTTTTCTTTCATGCATTTGTTTCTAACGCATTTATAAGATTATTTCTTTGTTGCTTTGTATGTCCCTCCCCCACAGTATAACCCCTGCTTTCACTATATTTGATGTCGGTATAATTTGTGGAGGAGAAGGGAAAAAACAAGTCATTTAAGGATACAGGTGGACCCGTTGCACCAATGAGAAGTACAAGTTGTCATGTCAAAAACGAACTTTACAACTTTGGTGGGGAGGAGGGTTGGGTGGGGGGGGACGGGGGGGGGGGGGGAGGGGGGGAGGCTGGGAAGGGATGTGAAGGGTAAACAAAGGAGGAGGCTGCAATGCTTGATAAGAAATGTACTCAGTATATCTTGCCCATGTAATTGTAACCCCTCTGTACAGTATGTTCACAATAAAAAAATAAATAAAAAAAATTATAGGTCACTCAATAAACACCGAGATTTAATTGTTTCTGTCATAAGATAAAGAAACTATGCAGATTGAGTGTTATAGCTGGCTGATATACTACTGTCATAGTTATTTAAAGCTGGTTTGACATATTCCATGGATTTTAGTCATTTGAAATATTTTTAACTGGTAACTATATTATTACCTAGCTAATTACAATTATTAGCTATGAATTTTAAAATTTTAAATAAATCTCTAGGTATTGAAAAATGTTAAGGAGAATATTGTACTTATCTATCTGTCTACCCATTATCTGTATCTATCTATTCATTCATTCATTCATTCGTTCATCTCTTTTGTGGTGCTAGGGACAGAACCCATTACTCTACAACTGATCTGCATTTCTACCCATTGGCTATTATCTTATTTTTTGGTGCTGGTACGAGGATTTGAACTCAGGATCTGGGTGCTTAGCTTTTTTTTGGGGGGGGGGTCTGGTCATGGGGCCTGAACTCTGGGCCTGGGTGCTGTCCCTCAGCTCTTCAGCTCAAGGCTAGCGCTCTACCACTTGAACCACAGTGCCACTTCTGGTTTTTTTCTTTTTGCTTATGTGGTGCTGAGGAATCGAACCCAGGGCCTCAGGCATGCAAGGCAAGCGCTCTACCACTGAGCCACCTTCCCAACCCCAGCTTAGTTTTTTTTGTCTAGGCTGGCACACTACCATTTGAGTCACAGTTCCACTTCCAGATTTTTGTTGTTTAGAGACAAGGAGCTCGAGGATTTGTGTGCCTGGGCTGGCTTCAGACTTCAACTTTCAGAACTCTGTCTCCTGAGTAGCCAAGATTATAAGCACGAACCACTGGTTAATGCCTTTGGCTATTTATTTATTTGTGTTGGTCCTGAGACTTGACCTCAGGGCCTGTGCACTGTCTCTAAGCTTTGCTCCTCAAGGTTAGTGCTCTACCACTGAGCTACATCTCCATTTTCAGCATTTTAGTGGTTAAGTGGAGAAGAGTCTCACAGACTTTTCTGCCTGGAATGGCTTTGAATTGAGATCCTCAGATCTCAGCCTCCTGAGTGGCTAGGATTACAGGTGTGAGCCACTGGTGCCTGGCATAGTGATTATTCTTTTTTTGGGTCCAGACATGGGGCCTGAACTCTGGGCCTGGGTGCTGTCCCTCAGCAATTCAGCTCAAGGCTAACGCTCTACCACTTGAGCCACAGCGCCACTTCCGGCTTTTTTCTTTTTGCTTATGTGGTGCTGAGGAATCGAACCCAGGGCCTCGAGCATGCAAGGCAAGCGCTCTACCACTGAGCCACCTTCCCAGCCCATATTAGAACATGGCTCACGGTTCAGAAGATTGGCTTACCTTTGGTAGACGTTTCTGTCCCTTTGTGATCTTACCTTAGTTGTTTCGACAGATCTCTGGGCCTCTTGGTGGACAGTACTGATAGAAGCTGTGGCCTGGGGGATCCCACCATTTGGCTGGCTGGGGCCTGAGGAGCAAGAAGAGAGAAGAATCTGTAAATTCAAACCAGTTTCCATTGTTATAGGTTTATCACTATCATGTGGGAGTGGTGTGGTAACATGGCTTTATGGAGTTCTGCTGAGGGGGAAGGGGACTAACTCAGTGGTACAGCATGTATTCAGCATACATGAGGCCTCACACAAGGTATGTCCATAGCCAGCACTAAGTAAATAATGAAACATTTACAGATCTGCCTCATGCCTGTAATCCTTGCTACTAAGAAGGCTGAGATCCATGGTGGACAGTAACCCAGTGAATCACGATTGAGAACTGCTTGCCATGGGGTTTTGTGTCTAATCTCTTCCTCTTAAGACACTCACAGGATGAGGGCTTAGGCCTACCTATGGGAATCTGGGGGTGCCCTGTTATGATATCCTCAGTCCTCAGTGATTGCTAACATATACAGGTGTTCTTTGATTGATTTTGGAATTTCATCTGGCAGATCCATCATAAGAGGAAATACCAATCTCCAATTGATTTTTCTATGTCTTAGCTTGGAAACACTGTAGCTTAGCTATGCAGCATGCTGGAAGAGGGTCTGTTGTTCACTCCCAGGATCCTGTGCCTGGTGGCAGGCTGACAGCCAATGTCCAGCATCAGGAGAGGGGGAGAGGGGAGAATGCAGGCAAGAATTCATTGTATATCCTACAAAATTAAGAGAAGTGAGAGAAGGGGTAGGTTGGAAGGAATGGATGAGAATGTTGGAAGGGGTGACATTAAGATGCATTGTATTCATAAACTGTTTCGTTAAATGGCAGCTCTATTATATACTACTTAATAAAATAAAATTTAAAAAAAGAAGAAAATACACAGAGCCAGAACATCCACTAGACGATGAAGTCTTCAAGACTATGACAAGGGACTTCAATTGCTCTTTTAGAATTTGACTAACCAAGCAGACAAATTAAGCCAAGATAAAACAGTCAATTGTAGGTAATACAATATGCAAACCAGAATGCTGAGTCAATAAACAAACCATTAAAAAAAAAAAAGATCCTCAGATCTCAGCCTCCTAAGTTGGCTAGGATTACAGGCATGAGCTACTGGTACCCAGCACAACAGTTGTTTTTATATAATGCATCGGATTTGTTTTGGACATGAGCTCTGAGTTCTAAGTGTACCTGGAGCCCGCTGAGCTGGTTTAGCTGTGTTTGTTCCCAGTTTTGTCCACCGTGAGGCCAGTCCAGCCCTTGCCATAGCTAGCTGATAGTTGTCGTAGAGAGTCCTTCCATACTGGAGAGAGGAAGCAAAGGGAGGAATACAGGGATCCATTTATTAAATTCTGCCATTCACTGCAATATACATGGTGAAAAAGATACTCTATGACTATTTTTTTCACTCCTTGTCCAAGTGTTATTGTATGTTTCAATAAAAAGATTCACAAAAGGTGAATTCTGAAGCTTACAATGCTTCTACTTTCACATGAGACGTGATGCGTTTGTGATTACACGTCTTCATGTCATTCTACTGTAGATTCAATCTTGTCTTTCTTTGCTTTTTGGGGTTGGTATTGGGGCTTGAACTTAGGGCCTTGAGTTCTCTACTCATTCATGCTCAGTGTTCTACCATTTGAGCCACACCTCCACTTCTGGCCTTTTTTTTGCTGGTTAATTGGAGATTAAAAAGCCTCATGGATTTCTTTGCCCAAGCTAGTTTCCAACCATGATCCTCAGATCTCAGTCTCTTGAGTAGCTAAGATTATAGACATGAGCCATGGGCCATCAGCTTTTATATTTATGTGTGTGTGTGTTGGGGGGGGGGGCGGGGGTGCTGGAGTAGAAACCCAGGCTTTGCATATGATTGGCAAGCACTCTACTACTGAGCTACATACTTAGTTGGTCGTGGGGCCTGAACTCTGGGCTTGGGCGCTGTCCCTCAGCTCTTCAGCTCAAGGCTAGCGCTCTACCACTTGAGCCACAGCGCCACTTCTGGCTTTTTCTGCTTATGTGTTGAGGTTTTTTCTGCTTATATGTTGAGGAATCGAACCCAGGGTCTCATGCAGGCAAGGCAAGCACTCCACAGCCACCTTCCCAGCCTACTTAGCCCTGTCTTGTGTTTCTTAATTGTACATGAAGCCTACAATCCTTCCCATGTATAAATATCTGAAAAGTTCCATTTGAAAGTCAATCTTCCATTCTCAGGTCTATGGGTAGGTTTATGTTCATATCACTCTTATTGAAAGAAACACGATGGGCTGATAAATGACCAGCAGTGGGTCAGCTGTTTCACAGTAGCTCTAATGCTGGAGCCAGGTCAAGAAACTGGACATGTGGGTGCAATGTGGATGCGCTCTTACCTTGGCGATCCTTATTCCCATGACCCATTGGTTGAGAGTTCTTGCATCATCGCAGCAGAGATACTTAATATACTGAGACTCCTTCTGAATTTGAGGATGCTGGAAAGAAGCAGTTTTGAAGGCAATTTATAAGCTTTGTCTGCCAGAGCTTGAAATGCCTCTCAAAATAACTTGAAAAAAAAATTCTACATGTGACTTACAAAGGTAGTGGCAAAAGGTTACTGGTACTAATTTTAGAATTAGGAAAAAGGGTTCCATTTATTTAAAAAAATTTTTTAGAAATCGAGAGTCTCACTTTGCTTCTTAGGCTTGTCTTGGGCTTGCTATTCTTTTGCTTTAGGACTAGAAGAGATTATAGGAATGTACTACTGCAGCTGGCTGTGGGCACTTCTAAAAAAATGGCTAAACTTTGAAAGGATTTAAGCAATCTATTATATAGTTTACCATAAACACTTTTTATTATATTATCTTTTGTGTGTGTGTGTGTATGTGTGGTGGCACTATGGTTTGAGCTCAGGGCCTTATACTTGCTAGGCAGGTACTCTATTATTTGAGCTACAATTCTAGTCCCTTTTTTGCTTGGTTATCTTCCTTCCTTCCTTCCTTCTTTCCTTCTTTCCTTCTTTCCTTCTTTCCTTCCTTCCTTCCTTCCTTCCTTCCTTCCTTCCTTCCTTCCTTCCTTCCTTCCTTCCTTCCTTCCTTCCTTTCTCTCTCTCTTTTTTTTTGTCGGTCGTGGGGCCTGAACTCTGGGCCTGGGCGCTGTCCCTCAGCTCTTCAGCTCAAGGCTAGTACTCTACCACTTGAGCCACAGCGCCACTTCTGGCTTTTTCTGCTTATGTGGACCTCTTGCATGCAAGGCAAGCACTCTACCACTGAGGCACCTTCCCAGCCCTTCATTGGTTATTTTCAAGACAGCATCTCTTTTTGCTTTATGCTCAGGGCCAGCTGAACTGAGATCCTCCTATTTTTTTCTTAACTTTAATGCTGGAATGACAGGCATGTGTCATTGTGCCCAACCATTGGTTGAGCCATGAACTATTGTGCCTGGGCTGACCTCAAACTATAATCTAATCCCTAGAGCTCTGCCTATCAAGTAACTAGGAGTAGAGGCATGAGCCATAGCACTTGGCTCATCTATGCACTATTAACTTTTAAAAGTCATCACATCTATCATGTGTTTATCCCTCAAGGCTATCTGAGTGGCTTCTGTATCTGTGAGACAGGAAACTTAATATATTCCTTATGGCACACAAGTGACTGTGGTCTTGCATCTGCCAAAACGCAGTCTGAGTGTTGTTTCTGCTACTAAGAATTCAGTTTTGCAATGAGCTTCCTTTCCTATTATTTTCAGAAGAAATGTGTTCCCAGGTGGCATTAAGCAATGGCACAGAGAAGGGTAAACAGAGGTGATCCATGTCTCCTGAACATGGCAGCCTGGAAGGAGACAAAGAGACACTTGCCATTCTTTTCTCTTGTATCCACTGTCCTTGTAGTTTTTATATTTCTGCCTGTAATAGACTGTGTGGGTATCACATGAGGGTAGGAACGCTATTTTATTTGTTGCTAAGGATTCCCCAGTGCTAACATGCCTGGTGCACCATAAGCATTCCAATACAACTGATTGCTAAAAAAATACAAATAAGCCAGGCACAAGTGGCTCATGCCTGTAATCCTACTACTCAGGAGGCTGAGATCTGAGGAACGTGGTTGAAAGCCAGCCCAGGCAGCAAAGTCCGTGAGATTCTTTTTTTTTTTTGTCGGTCGTGGGGCTTGAACTCTGGGCCTGGGCGCTGTCCCTCAGCTCTTCAGCTCAAGGCCAGCGCTCTACCACTTGAGCTACAGCGCCACTTCCAGTTTTCTGGTGGTTTATTGGAGATAGGAGTCTCACAGTCTCTCCTGCCCGGGCTGGCTTTGAACCGCGATCCTCAGATCTCAGCCTCCTGAGTAGCTAGGATTACAGGCGTGAGCCACCAGCGCCCGGCGTCCGTGAGATTCTTATCTCCAACTAACCACCAGAAAACTGGAAGTGGTGCTGTGGCTCAAGTGGTAGAGTGCTCACCTTGAGCGGAAGAGCTGAGGGACAGTGCTCAGGCCCAGAGTTCAAGCCCCATGACCGACAAACAAACAAGCAAACACAAATAAGCACATATCCTGATCACTCACAGATATTCTTGCTTACTCCATAGGTGAGGCAGGCAATCAAGCCCAGAGTCCAACCGAAACCATTCTGTGTGTGTGTATGCATGCCCACGCATGCATGTGTGTTATTACCTAGAGTTGGGAGTATCTATCTGTGCAGGAAAGGAGCAAAGAGGTTCAGTTCCTGTTTTAGGGTGCTACGTAGATACTTTCATTTTGGCTTTCAGCGCAATCACCGACTTTTAAGCACATGGCTAATTCTTAAAGATGAGCTGAGAAAAGGGGGTTGTGTCTTTGAATGTCAACTGAAATCAGAGAGGTAATGTCTGCACCTGTTGGTGGCCCCAATCATCCAGCCTCTGAGATACTAGATTTACTCAATAGGCTAATGAGACACATGGCTTGTCAGGGCTTTATAAAACCTTAGTCAGTTTTGGTTTTACATATGATAAAACTGGTGATTATTGTTTTTGACTTTTTACTTAGAATTTCTATATTCATCTATTAAGCAAAAATACTAACACTAAAGGTACCAGAGGAAAAAATTAGATAAAATCTATCTTCCTTCTTTCTCTTTTCCTCATTCTCCTCACTCTCTCTCTCTTTTGCTCTCTCTTGCTCTCTCTCTCTTGCTCTCTGGCATTTTGAGCCAACTGAAGAAAATCTATCCTTATACACTATGTGTGTGTGTGTGTGTGTGTGTGTGTGTGTGTGTGTGTGTACAGGTACTGGGACTTGAACTCAGAGCTAGGCACCGTCTCTGAGCTTGTTTTTCTCAAGGTTAGTGCTCTACCACTTGAGCTGCAGTCCCAGATTTTTAGTAGTTTATTGGAGACAAGTGTCTCACAGACTTTCTTGCCCAGGCTGGCAATGAACCATGATCATCAGATCTCAGCCTCCTGAGTATCTAGGCATGAACCATGGGTGCCTGCTTCTTTTATATTTGTTACACAGACACATTTCTTTATATTTTTCAGTCTCAGAACTTGTAGAGCAATGTGTGAGAGGGCCAGTTCCCATCTCCTGAATGGTGCTGTAGCTTTCCATTATGGCCAGCAGATGGTAGCAAACACTTTGGGATGGATGTTGCTCATTTTATTGTGCTTGCGCTTTCCTTGCTCAATAATATTTGATTTTAGTTTTGCAAATGTTCCTCCAATAATCATGCTCCTTGTTGGAAATATGTATCCACTCAGGTAATGTAGTCCAATAGCAAACATCATTAACCAGAAAGTCAGATTGATGAAAAATATGGAATGAGATATTTTACCAATACCTGCAGCATTTTCTCCTGACAGCAAAACCAAACCAAACCAAAGCCCTGGTCTTTCAGTGGCAGAAGCACAGCTCTTTAATGGTATTCTTTGTCTTATGTTCAATAAGGGGGACAAGATTTACTCTCTTTAGCAAATAATGTTTCTAATTGTTCATAGAAAGTGACTTCTTGCTGGGCACCAGTGGCTCATGCCCGTAATCCTAGATACCCAGGAGGCTGAGATCTGAGGATCACGGTTCAAAGCCAGCCCTGGCAGACAAATCAGAGGCTCTTATCCCCATTAACCAGAAAAAAGCAGAAAATGGAGATGTAGCTCTGCAGGCAAAAGCTAATTGAGATGTATAAGGCCCTGAGTTCAAGTTCTAGTACTGGCCAACAAAATAAGTGACTTTTTCCTCTTTGAGACATTAAGTTGACTTTTTTTGTAACCTTGGTGTAGTTATTGTTTTGCTGGTTTTTGTTTTGGTGACATCTTACGTAAGAATTGAGTTTCTGGGAACAGCCTAAATCATACTTGCAACAAAATGCTTTTATGCAATTGTTTGCTTAGAGGTCTCCATTTAAGCAATACCATAAGCAATTTCTTAAATACATTATGCATCCAAATATAATAAAATATAGTCATTCCTTTAAATAAGGAGAATTCTTTTCTCCCCTCCCCCACCTGGGATTGAACCCAGGGCTTCTTACATGCTAGGTAAATGCTCTACCACTTGAACTGTGTCCCCAGCCTTTTATTTTAATTTTGTTTTGGAAACAGGGTCTTACTATCTTTTTTTTTTTTTTCCCAGTTTAGCCTAGAGCTGGAGATTAGCTGGAATTTGAGAATCATTTGCCTTCATCTTCCAAGTTGCTGGGACTACAGTTATGCACTACCATGCCTGGATTTCAATAAAATAGCTTTGAACATAAACCAGATACTTCTAAGGGTTCTTGTTGTCCTCAGAGTTTGTGATTCTAAGCTGTGCTACCTAGTGGGCAGCAGGCTCCTGGCAGCAACTAGGACCTCACAGAGCCTGTCTTCATGCTAGTGTTCCATCACACCTTGTGCTTGCTGCCTCACTGAGCCTTTGGCTGAAAAATTATTTGCCAAAGGGTTTAAGAAAACGCTGGGTTAATGTGACTGCCCAGATCCTTCAATGATTTGCTAGTTCCTGACGACGAAAAGAGAGAAACTCTTTTAGCACACGAAGGTCAAGGCTAAAGTCCCTTTCAGAACGTTATTGCTAAAAGGGATATTACAGGTCCTCTAACCTTACACAATGAAGAAACTGAGGTCAAGGAAATGAAGCAATTTGTTTGAAGCCAAAAGTAGATGTAGAGCCATAACTAGAACAAAGACATCATTATTTGTTCCACCAACACTGCTGGATGCTGAGAAAAAGATTAATTCCTGGGTATACAAAGAAGAATAAGAAGCAGGGGTCATGGTGGCTCTCAGCTATAATCCCAGCACCCAAGAGGCTGAGGTAGAAGAATCTCAAGCTTAAGGTCAGCTTGGGCTACACAGCAAGTTCCAGACCAGCCTGGCTAATATAGTGAGATTCTGTTTCAAGCAACAACAAAAACAAACACAAACCCCCAGAAGAGTAAGGGATAGTTCACACTGGGATAGGGGTTACAGGACTGGGGCAAGAGTTAAGCATTGTTAGGGCACTGTTAAATAAATCCTGTTTATTAGTAGGTCTTTACTGTAAACAGCCTATTGGAAATAAAAAAAAAACCTATTTTGTATGTTTTCTAGAAAATCTAGGCAAGTTCATAGTTTCTAAAGCCTTTTACAGTAGAATGAACCCAATATATGAACAAGGAACTGTCCATGTACCTGTTTTATAAATAAAATTATAAGATAGTTTCCTCTAATATGGAACGTTTACTTCCAGAAGTGATGAGGAACCCCTTAGAGAAATTTCAAGATTTTAGTTCTGATAATATACTGCAGGGGAAATCTCTCAAATGGATTGACTCTCCCTTAGTTGGGTGTTAAACCAAAAGTTGTATTATGAGACACATACAGTTAACTGTATCACATAGGACATTTGTTTTCCCTTAGACGAAAATCTTAACCAACAAATCAAAAGCAAGGACTTCTTACAACATACCTTTAAAACAAAGCAGTGGTCGGTGGGTGCTTTGTATTTCATTTTACACTGACTCCCATAGTAAATGTTGACATTTGCAAACTGTATAAAACATGCTAGATCTCGGGATGTCTGCAAAAAGAGAGGAAAAAATGACCTCAGCTGAGATGACAGTTAATCATTTCCTTTGGTGCTTTCTGATGGCACAACCAAGAGCTCCATTTTAGTAGAGAAAATATTGAATTTTGTAGCTAATGTATATAAACATCGATCACTTATAGTTTTCTCAAAGCTATGCCAGCATAAAAGATGAATGACAAAGAGTATGACCAGATGTGACAGTGTGTCACCAGTCCTGAAATACAGTGACAGATGATAATGTTGGTTCCCGCACCTGAATGGACTCCCAGAGTCAAAACCTGTTGAACTTGTGTGATTGCTATTAATTCAATCAAGGTAAGTTGGCCAGGTAGGCAGAAACATCATTTTGGCTTTTGCTATTCTAAGTCAGTGATGGAATTTAGCATTGAGCACAAATAACAACAAAACAACCAAAATGCTCCTCAGGAAGAAGAACGAGAGGTGAATTTGATGATGCTCCGAAAATTAGCACACACACCATGCTCTTTTCTGCTTTCCGGTTTCTGCTGGAGGGGTTGCCATGGAGACAGCAACCTCTCCTCCAGGGATAATGGGCTTTGTGGAGTTGGGCAACCTCTAATCTACAGATCTGCTTACACTTCAATGGCACAGTTGCTTCATGACAATTTTCCCCTCTTTCTTGTTTCTATCATTATTTACCTTGTTAATTGAATAAAAGATGAAATGGCTACACTTCAACGCACAAAATATTCCTTTTTTGTGAAAAATAAATCAGTCCATTTTCCTCATTTTTTTCTGTATTTTTGCACTTTTAATTTTATGAATTACAAAATAATGCATAGGCATCATAATTAAAAGATTAAATATACATTTTCATTCACTAGCTCTTTTTCTTCCTCTTCTTCGGAGGTACTACAGGGAGTAGTTTGTTAGTATTTTTCCAAATGTTTGTGGATAGACACTTATTTGCTGGTTGATTGGAGATGGAGTTTTCTGTCTGTAGTTGGCTTCAAATAGTGATCTTCTGAATTTCAGCCTCTTGAGGGGTCTGGCTTCATATATTTATACACACACACAGTTTTGTATATGTATGGATATTTATGTGTATGTATATTTATAGACACACTTGCTTATGGGACTGAACTCAGGGCTTTTGGAATGATATCACTGAGCTACACCCCAGCCCAACATACAAAAATTTTAAAGCATGAATGGGATATTACTACAAACAAGTGTTCTAAGACTTGTTTCTTTTTTTTTAAAACATTGTATCTTGGGAGGTGCATGTCAGGACCATGAATGGATATATAATATCCATTTTGTGGCTCCACAGCTCTCCACTGAACAGGAAAAGTGATTTATTTTTCATCATTATATTATAGGTACAGATTTTTTCCCCCAGTATTTTACTATTACAAAAGTATTTTGCATCTGAGCAAATATATTGTCATCTGAGGAACTTCTGAGGTTTTTATTCTCATGAATGTACTTCTGGTTATTATTATTATCATTGTTATGATTATTGTCACTGTGATAGTTTGTATCTGGAATGTCTCCCAAAGTTCTACTTGATCCCAGCCTAAGGCACTATTAGGAGCTGGTGGAGTGTTTAGGAGGTGGGGCCTACTGGAAGGAAGTTATATCATTGGAGGCATAGTCTCCAGGAGCATTGTGGGAATCTGGTCTTCCTTCTTTTTTGGCTATGATGCTTTCCTCTGCTGTGTTCTTGCTGTGATGTGTTGCCTTCCCCAAAACACTGGGCCAGTGAGCCATGCACTGAAACCTCCCAAACTTTTTAAAAGTTAATTATCTCAGGTATTTTGTTACAGTAATGGAAAGATGACTAATACTGCGTACGGACCTTAGTCTTTCCTTTGGGTACGTAATATATCCCAGAAGCCCGTAAAAGAAAATAGCGTCTTTTCCAGGATTTCTTTCCATCTTCTTTCAAATAAAGAGCTCCTTCAAGTTCGGGGACAATGATGGATGTTCCGCAGAAACTTTCCTGAAACAAAAATTCCAAAGACAGAAAACACACAAAAAATTAAACACACCTTCTTGCTTATATTTAAACAGAACTGCAAGTTAGCTTTACCCTAAAATCAAGTTTGTCTATGACTCTGAACTCTCATCAGGTGCACATATTGACATTATATGCACATATTGCTGAAAAAGAGAAAAGAATAAGCCCTAACTCTGAGTCAGACCCAAGATTTGGAGACCACACATCTCTTGGACCATGGGCCATTAACCTCAGCTCCTTAGTTCTAAAAAATAGAATAATAACCAACTTCATGAGGTCAGTTATGAGTGTTGTCTTGACATATTATAAAACAAAGCATTTAATAAAGTCTGTTCCTCTTGCTATAAGTTGGAAAATGGAGAAATTAGTACTTTCCACGTAAGTAAGAAAATGACTATTTCACTATTAGTGAATAGAACAATTATAATATATACTTCTACATAATGAAGAAGGAAAAATTTAATGCCACAATATCAGAAAGGAAAAACAAGTACTTCTCTCTTTCTCTCTATTTGTGTGTGTGTGTATTTTTTTCAAAACTGGGAAGTGGCATATATTAAAAAAATCAATTGCATGTCTCTCAACTTCAAAACAAGATGTGCTCAGAATCCAGTCTTTCCTGTCCTCACCATGACACCAGGTACCTGACCCATAGCCAACCTCCAATCTCACTGGTAAGTGCCATTTCTACTCCTGGGCCTCCCTGGCAGACCCACTATGCTCAGGACCCAAGAGCCTGACCCTGTCTGTGTTTGAGCAGTCTGTGTCTGTGACCCTGACCAGTGTCTAAGCACATACTCAGGAGCAGCAGCAGCAAGTTCTGGTGTCTGTTTTATTTGGTCCAGGGTGGCTAGAACCTGTATAGGGACCAGAAATGTGTACAAGGGCCTAGGAAGACCTTGATAAACCAGAAAGAGAGCTTCTCAGCATCAGTGAACCAGCCTAAGGGTTAACCAGGTGCTGAATTTTCAAGAGCAGTACTAACGAGAGAAAAAAATAGACACTATTAGAACACAGTAAACCAGTATATCTGGGACTTTAACATGACACTTTATGGCCTGTGATCCAACACTCATTTCTTCTACAGTTTGGGCTGGGAACAGAGCCTCAGTTACTAAGTGAAAATTCATTAGGGATTAAAACAAAATCAGTTGCTTTGGGAATATAATCCAGGAGTGCTCATCATAGACATCCAAGCATTCACCTTGCTCCTGAGTTTCTGTGGTGATCCAATCTGAGTTGGGTTTACCTCTGTCTTTTGTCCTGGTATGCCACGCCTACTCCAGTGGAGTCTGCTTAGCATGGGAAACCTGCTTTCAGACCTGAGAAAGGGGCTTCAGAGACCTATCTCTGAGTATTGGGACTTCATCAAAGTCTACCTCGGAGAATAGGGCTTCAAAGAGGCCTACTCCTGGAAAGGCTGGCAAACCCCTGGAAAAGATGTGTTTCTGCCTTTCTTTCTCTCATAAGAGTGCCTATTAATCTTTTACTGCTTCTACTGCTTTTTGTACTTGCTCATTGTCAACGTTCCCTTATTCAAAGCTCTTTCTTAAGAGTGTTGACGACTCCAATATCTGATGAGTGTCTTAAAAATATGACTAACTCACCAGAGTTAAGTGCTACCCTGAAACCCCTCTTATGGAGGCTAGTAGACAAGTCATAAGTAAATATAAAAGTATTGGGGGTTTCACCAAGTCACTTCAGCAGAAGGAATTGTTTGTAAGGGACTTACAAGAAGCTGTAGGCTCAGCTAGAGCAGAAAGAATGGATGGCAATTACTAAGATAACTATTTAGGAGAAAGAATTTCCTGCTATTTACTAAGAGATTTGCTAGATCTAGGTCTCCTTGAGGTTTACTATTAAAGAAAAAACAAGAAAGATCGTATGGGAAAGTTAAGGCCTCTATAAAGATAGGTAATGGTTAATTGGTGACAAACATCAAAACCCAAACCCATTGTATTCCTTAGAGATAAGCCGGAGACAAATGCCTATCAGGTGCCCAGCTGGTGACCACCCAAGAAAGAAGCCCTGCAGCAAGATTGTGTAACCTTTTGCCCTTTCTCATGGAGACTTTTGCTATAAAAGTTTGTTATCCTCTGCATTAAATCGCACTCAGCATCCACTCCTAATGTGTGTGAGTTGTCTGTTTGCCATCTCCCCATCCTATTCCAGGTTCCTCCCTTAGGTGTCCTCCGTTGTCCCGACAGAACCCAGTCCGCGGCACTGGTACTAAGGCTTGAATTCAGAGCCAGGACATTCTTCCTTAGCTTTTTTTTTTTCCCTCAAAGCTGGAATTCTATTACTTGAACCCCAGCTCCACTTCTGGCACTTCACTGGTTAATTGGGAATGAGAATGTCACAAGACTTTTTTTTTTTTTGTCAGTCGTGGGGCCTGAACTCTGGGCCTGGGTGCTGTCCCTCAACTCTTCAGCTGTAGACTAGCGCTCTACCACTTGAGCCTCAGCCTCACTTCTGGCTTTTTCTGCTTATGGGGTGCTGAGGAATCAAAGTGAGGGCCTCCTGCCTGCAAGGCAAGCACTCTACCACTGAGCTACCTTCTCAGCCCCAAGACTTTTTTTTCTTTTTTTTTGCTTGGTTTTGTTTCCAACTTTGATCCTCAGATCTCAGCCTTATGAATAGCGAGGATTACAGCTGTGAGTCACTAGTGCCAGCTTTCAATCTGTTTTAGAAACTGAAGTTCATGTGAAGCTTGTAAACCTCATGGTTCTACCAAGTATGACTAGTGGGAGAGCAGTTCAGAATATTCATAGATTTGAAATTGTATCTCATTTCCATGGAGCAATTAAGCAATGGGGCATACGGAGTATTCTCAGTTGATTTTTAAGAGGGTTCATTTCTTAAAAATATTTTTATTGTAAAGATACTTTACAGAAGGGTTATAGTTACACGAGTAAGGTAATGAGTACATTTCCTGTAGAGCATTGTTACCTTCTCCTTTGTTTTTCCCCTACTATCCCTTCCTTCCCCATCTCCCCAATTCCTCCCTCTCCCTGCCCCCCTGAAGTTGTTGTAAAGTTCATTTCAACAGTGTCTTGTAAATCTCATTGTTACAATGGGTCAACCAGTATCCTTGTTTCTGCGTTTTGTCATTTCCCTTCCCCTCCCCAAATTAGAAAAATGTATATACAAGACGCAGGGCACCAGAATCAAATACAGTGATGGTTCATTTCTTTTTAGTCAAGAATCTAATCCATTCAGGTACCAGTGGTTCAAGTCTGTAATCCTACTTACTCAGTAGGCTGAGATCTGAGGACTGAGATTCGAAGCCAGCCTGGGCATACAAATCCTGGAGACTCTTATCTCCAATTGGCCAGCCAAAGCTACTGAAAGTGGAGATATGGCTCAAGTGTACAATACCAGACTTGAACAGAAAAGAATTACTAATTTAACTTCACGAAAAGCAAAGTATATTGTCTAAAGCCATAGTTTAGGATCACTGACTCAAAGAAACAGTTGAATTATCTAAACAGTTATACTTCAGTAATGATTAAAAAATACTTATTTATTTTGGTGCTGGCACTGGGGCTTGAGCTCAGTGCCTGGACTCTGTCCCTTAAGCCTTTTTACTCAAGGTTGGCCCTCTGCCATTTGAGCCACACCCCCACACATGGCATTTTGCTCGTTATTGGAGATAAGAGTCTCATGGATTTTTCTGTTCCAGTTGGCTTTGAACCTAGATTCTCAGATCTCAGCCTCCTGAGTAGGTAGGATTATAAGCGTGAGCCATCAGTGCCCAGCAGTAATGATTTATTAAAAAAAAAAAACCCAAGTTAAAATTTCAGTGCTGTCTCAGAATTTTCCATTGTTCCAGGGAGCAATCTTAAAAATAGATACAGCAAATGCTCTCTTTTCTTCCATTCTGCAAAATGAAGCTTACCTCAAGTAAAGACTCCTTGTTCTTAGCATTAATTTTCTCGCTGGTTTCCTTGCCTTCTTTTTTTCCTTTGTTATCCAAGTAGAAATTCTAAATAAAAAGTTAAAAGATCAGTTCAGGAAGTATTCATTACTCTAGGAAATACTGCAAGGAATTCGGTCTTGCTGGAGAGAGAAGATAATCTTGGGGCTAGGAATGTGGCATGGGGTAGAGTACTTGCCTAGCATCCATGAGGCCCTAGGTTCGATTCCTCAGTACCACATAAACAAAAATAATAATAAATTAATTTAAATTAAAAAAGGAAGATAATCTTGTGTGAAATAAACAGACACCACAGAAGACACTGTGAGTCTACCAGGAGAATTAACTGTGTAAACCTTCACCTCCCCTCCCCTACTTCCCCTGCCTTTAGTGCACCATGAGAAAAGAAGACAGGAAATACTAGCCAAGGACATGATGTCATGTAATGGTCAGATTCCATAGTCAAGAACATTGGTGTTACATGCAGGAAGCTGGCAGACTCTCACCCACCAGGGACTGAAGTGAAGGCTGAACTCACATCTCAACTTCAACTACTTGGCTAGTGGGCACCCCACAGAAGCCCAGGGCCTGTGGACTGGAGATTCTAGGCTCTTAGGTACAGCTTGAAATCTAGATTTTCGTAATTGTTGGTGGTTGTTTTTCATTTTAATTTTTAAAAGCAGTATGTTCTAGGCACTTATGCCTCACTACTATAATCCTAGTTACTCAAAGGCAAGAGATCTGAGGATTGCGGTTTGAAGCCAGCTGGGACAGAAAAGTCCATGAGACTTTTATCTCCAGTTAACCACCAAAGAAGCCAGAAGTAGAGCTGTGTCTAAGTGGTAGAGTGCTCACCTTGAGTTGGAAAAGCGAAAGAATAGTATCTAGGTCCTGGATTTAAATCCCAATGCTAGCATAAAAACAAAACAAAACAAAAAATAAAAGCAGTGTGTCAATCATCATGTAGTTCCCTAAATGGTGACCTCTAGGATATTCAGAAGTAGAAGGGTATTTCTGGAAAGAGAGAGGCCTAAATAAAAGCAGGGAAGACCATGTCAAAACACACATAGACAGGGGCCAGTGGCTTACTCTTGTAATCTTAGCTACCCAAAGGCAAAGATCTGAGGATTACAGTTCAAAGTCAGCCTTAGCAGGAAAAGTCTGTGAGACCCTTATTTCCAATAAAGTACAAGGAAAAAAAAACACGCTGGAAGTGGAGCTGTGGCTCAAGTGGTAGGTAGAGTGCTAGCCTTGAGCAAAAAAATCCTAGAACCCAGACCCTGAGTTCAAGTTCCAGGACAGCATACAAACTCACACACTCACACTCACACACAAACACACATAAATGAGGGAAGTCTCTGAGTGTGGTTAGTAATCATCTATGTATCATCCCATTCTGAATACCCATGAGATGGCTAAAAATAAAGTATGTGAATTTCCATATAACATTAGCACTCAAGGGTTAATTTCTTACTAACTTCTGTAGCCACTACAGCTGATTATGTAAACTCCATGCACAGAGGGTGACTGGGAGTGACCTCTGTTACAGTGCTTTAGATTTTTAGGGTGAAAACAGAGTTTTCCAAAATATCGTGAAGAAGATACGATGTACTTACAGTAGCAATCACACATGAGGAACACAGTGACCCAAACACCCAGGTCACAGCAATGCGTTCCCCAGGGTGATCCCAGTCAGCCTAGATGCTCGAGAAAAGGCATGTGTGCAAGCTCTCTTACTACGGATCTGAAGACCTGGATGGACCTGGAAATCTGCATTGCAATATATTTCCTGAATAATTATTATACACACAGTGTTCTATGGAGAACTGATGCTTGAATGCTTGAACAGTAATAAAAGTGGCTAGTGTTAGTACTTGAATAATTTCTCATAGTCAGAACTAGTCCTTAGTCTTTAGATTTCTCTCTCTCTCTCTCTCTCTCTCTCTCACACACACACACATACACACACACTTTTGTTTCAGGTAATGAGATGTATGACATGTACTTGAACATTTGAGAGATTAAAAACAACTTTGGTGGTCATGAAGCAGATTGTAAAAGACTTCTCTGACTTTATTGTAAAGTAGGCCAGAGATCTAAAGATCCTCATAAGAAAAGTTCTGGGTGTGGGGTGTCGGGGGTTGGGGGGAGTGTAATTGTGGAGATGGGAGGGCAGGGGTGGTAGGGGAAAAACAAAGGAGGAGGCAATAATGCTTAATAAGAAATATACTCATTACCTTGCTCATGTAATTGTGACCCCTCTGTATGGTATTTTTACAATAAAAAACTTATTTTTTAAAAAAGAAAATTTCCATGGGGCTGGGAAGGTGGTTCAGTGGTAGAGCGCTTGCCTTGCATGCCTGAGGCCCTGGGTTTGATTCCTCAGCACCACATAAGCAAAAAGAAAAAAGCCGGAAATGGCACTGTGGCTCAAGTGGTAGAGTGCTAGCCTTGAGCTGAATTGCTGAGGGACAGCGCCCAGGCCTAGAGTTCAGACCCCACGACTGGACCAAAAAAAAAAAAAAAAAAAAAAAAAAGAAAATTTCCATACAAGAAAACAAATGCTATTATTCTGGAGAAAAATGATAAAAAAAAAACCCCGAAAAGTTCCCATTCTAACCTCAAGCAAAAAGCCACGTCCCTGTCTCTGAAGTCACAGAACCCAAAGAATCTGAACAAGCAGGCTTTGCAAATTTTTTGGTGTGGGATGATTGGATTTTATTCTCCAATCATATGAGACCATGTAAAAAAAACAACAACTCAACTTTCCCTGTTTTATTTTTTTTGGAAGGTGTCTTTATTTCTGAAGACTCCAGTGTTACAGAGAACTTACAGTAAGCTGAGTGCCAGTAATGCATGCCTCTAATCCTAGTTACTCAAAAGCTGAGATGTGAGGATGAAAGTTTGAAGCCAGCCCCGGCAGGATAGTCTGTGAAACTCTTATCTCCAATTAATCATGAAAAAGCTGGAAGAGGAGCTCCACAGTGCAAGTAGAGTGCTAGTTGTATACAAAAAAAAAAAAAAAAGTTCAGAGACAGTGTCCAGGTCTTGAGTTCAAGCTCCAGGACTCCTTCCTCCCCCACAAACTTGTATTAAATAAAATCATGCATTCTTCTTTTGTTAATCTGTTATCCATTATAGAGATCTCAGCCATAAACTCAGTGATGAGCAAAGAAAAAAAAACCTTGACTGAGGCAATGTCAGTGATGCTTGCAAAGTTGATTTTTAAAAGCTGCTTCTAGTAAGACAAGGATGTTCTACTGCCTCAAATCGCTTTCCCCAGAAAAAAGCAGTACCATCTGGAAAGAGGGCTTGGTAAAGGGGGAAAAAAGAAATTCTCTTGCCCTACCCATACAAGGCAGGCAGTCATAGCAACTCTCCTATAGCAAACACAGATGAAAGCTTCACTCATTTATTTAATCAAGGCTTTATGTTCTGTGGAAACCTTTAGAAATGACGACTCAACAATTCAGGGAAACCTGTATTTTATGCTAAGTTTGGGGGCAAACTTTGGATGAAACCAAACATGATATAATAAATAAACCAATGGTGGTGAAGAGGGTGTCAAGATTCAACAAGGCCTGTGTTCAGATTCCTTTCTATGTTGGTCAGACATTTCTTCCAGGATAGGAGCAGGCCACTCATCCCCTGAGGACCTGAATGAAGGGGAGGAGATCCAAGAGTGGTCTTCCTGGGTTTTATGGCTTGCTTTGAACATTCTAGTTTCTAAAACTTGCTTTGGGGAATACATGGAGAAAGGAGGGTGGAAGGCGGGAGTCATAGAGAATTTCTTGCTTCTGAAGTCTTCCAGCTCCAAATAGCCAATATACCAAGGCTATATACTTTGGGGTATCATGGTCAGAGCCTCTATCTATGACCCTGCCCTGATCTGCTTTAGAGGGTTTCTTCTTCCGTTACCCCAGCCTAGTCATTCCTCTACTCAGAATGGTGAGTTGTAGGGCTCAAGGACAGGCCACCTGAAGCTAATGATCTCTCTCCCAACCCTGAGTCCAAACTCCATGAACCCGGAGTCTTGGGATTTCCTGCCCACAAGATGATGATTCAGCCTGAGGTTAGACTGATATTCAAGCTTCTTTATCTTCCTGCCTAAAACTCTAGGTCATAGATCAAGGTCTAGGTCAAGTCAATTGTGAGCAGCCCATCCCAGAACATACCTTCCTGGAGAGTTGTTCACAATTACTAAGGCCTTTAATTCTCACAATATACCTTCATATTGTAAGGAAATAAAGTACATAGGTGAAGCCTCTCCAGGAACACACTGGCATCCATTTCTACATCTTCAACCTCTCTGGATATTTTTTCGCCCCGAAAGTAGATCTGTCTTGAGACTGGACAGTTCTCACAACAATTACCCTTTCACATTTTAGAAAGGAAAAGGCAACTCTTACATTCACAAGGACCTTACTGCCCTGGGGTATGAAGCTCAAAGACCCGAAACAAAGGGATAAGTTGAAACACTATTTTAAAAAAGGAGAGGATTTATAACTAATCCTACTGGAAGCCAAGTGATGTCTAATTCTTTGCTTTTAACACAATGGAAGGGACCTAATTATCTCATCAGCCAATGGATGAAAAGAACCATCCTTGATTCTTCTGTGACTTTTAGCTAATAATTCAGAAGGAGGTCAGAGAATTGAATGGCATGCTTCTGTTCCTATCTATTTATTAATGTGAACCCAAGTTTTCTAACACTTTCATCTATAAAAATGTACTCACACAGGTGTAAAAATGAAGAATACAATTGATATAGAACCTTCATCTCTGGATCCTTGAGTTAATCGGAGGGAGGTTCCATCTATTTATATCATTCTGAGATGTTCCACACTTTTTACTTTTTATGCCAACATAATGTCAGAGTTAAAATGTCTTTTTATTTTAATCCATTGTATGATTTAAGTACTTTGTTCTGACACTAATATGCCTTATGGTAGCCAAAAACAACGTCTTACTAATTGACTTATAAATATAATTTGTCAAAGAACAGGATAAGAAATGAAGAAGACTTTCAAGCCCATGGATGGATTACAATAAGGATAAATCTGCTGAGA